ATTCCAAGAAATTCTATGCTTTTGACACCTATTTCCCTTTCTTTATCGACAGCATAATCCCATATTTTTCAATTATTTCCCCAAACTGGGGTCAATAAAAGTTTATGAGAATCTTTATCTTTCGAGAAAAGTAAGAGGTCATCAATATAAATGAGGAGATTAACAAGCATAGGTTTAAAGATTCTGGTCATGGCCTTTTGGAATAGTGATGGGGTGACTTTGAGCCCAAATGGCATAATAGTCCATTGGTACTGGGCATTTGGAATACAAAAAGCAGTTTTGGGTCGATCTTCTGGGTGGATATCCAATTGCCAAAATCCTACTTTAAGGTCAAACTTGGAAAAGATTTTTGCATCTCTAAGATGGGCTGTAAGTGAACTGGGCTTTGGTAAAGGGAATTTGTCATCTTGACGAAAAATATTGAGAGGTTTATAGTCAATGACTAACCTTTTCTTCCCTCTTTTGATTTTTGATCTTTTTTCAACATAGAATGCTTGGCAAGCCCAATCAGATTTTGTTGGTTCAATAAGGCCTTGTTTGAGAAATGCAGTACATTCCTCTTTGACGAGCTTGAGATCTTCTGGATTCATTCCTAGATGAGAGGCTTTTAGTGGGATTGATATCTTTATTTTTCTTGAAAGGGAGTTTTATAAAACTCTTGATTTTTTCATAATGGAAATAGATGAGAGAATTGTTGATCACTATCAATACAAAACTTGAGGAGATGATCTCGGATACCTTCATATTATGGTGGTGCTTGTTAGATTTCAAAGAGATTAGGAATTTCAGTATATACACTAAAGAAATTTTCATATCTAATTCCTTTAGGCAGTTTATAGAACCCAATCTTTATATGGTTTTCTCAAGTGTTTTCTAATGTTTTGGAACAATTTTACCCTCATTATGCGTGCATTTATATCCATTTGATTACATTGAGTCATGCATTGCATTTTGCTGTTTAAGTGGTAAAAAGGGTCATTTTTCTCTTCTAAATTTTAATTGCCTTGATCTATAATCAGTTGGTCTTTACATAGCTCTTTGTTGTGATTTTCAGGCAATTGGAGAAGGACCCAAGAGTCATGATAGGGCATGGATGAAGCCAAAATGTTACAAGGACCAAAACACAAAAGTTAGGAGTGTTCTGCCTCCCCAGGTCGCGACATGGACTACTTAGGTCACAACCTGGATGCCCTTTTAATGAAACTACGCGTTTTAGACCTGAGTCAAGATGAGAGCTCTCTGTCTTCCCAGGTCGCGACTTGACCCCCCTAAGTTGCGACCTTACATTCTTGAGGTCGCGACCTGAGTGCATTAAGTGAAGCTGTGCGTTTTGGAATAGGCTTCGATACCTAAGGAGGGCAGCCACCATGAAAGAGGACTCTTCCATTCTGCAGATTTGCATAAGGTTGAGCCACCATCATCTCCTCTCAAGTCTCGATTGATCATACACCCAAAAATTCCATTTTTCTTCATCTCTTCATCATTTTTTGTATTTTTTAAACCGATCAAACCACTCCAACACCCTTCTTCTCCATTTTTCCAACCTTATTTTTAGCTTTAACTATGGCTATTCAATCCTGGAGCCATTGCGATTGGTTTGAAAGCATAAGAGGCTAAACCCTTAGCCTCTTAGTGATAGAAGACAAAGCTTAAGCTCAAGGACTTAATCGGGGAGTTTTCTTTCTATAGTCTAAACCTTTGTTTAATGCTGTGTTGAATTTTTCTAGATTTAGGAACTTTCTGTACTTGTATTAAACTTGGTTTATGATTGTAAATCTTTTGTTTAGACTATTCTATTGTATTTAGATTGGATGATGTTAATGTTGATTAATATATTTAATATTTTAGTCTGAATCCTTGTGTTCAGTTTGATTATCAGTGATAATCGTTGATTAATCTGTGTGCTTGGTATTCTATGCCTGTCGATTGACATTCAGAGGGCATTTGCATCATTCATTCATTTACACTCTAAGTGGTTTTCAGTAGTGTCTTAAGAGGTGTTAATTAACTTTGATTAAAGTGAGTTTTCATTAATTAAGACATTGGACCCAAGTGATTACTTGGGGTTTTCTTCAGACTTAGAGGTTTTCCAAACTCCCAATCATTCTAAAGAGCAGTAATAGCTAAGCTTTCATTATCAAGAGACTGTTTAACCATAATTCCCTTTTAATCCAAAACATTTCTTTATTTATTCAAAATACCAAAAATAGTTAATTTTTTTCACTTTGCATTTGTTGCACCACTTTTAAAACAACTAAAACCCCCTTTTTTACAATGTTTTTGAAACCCAATTTAGTCTAAGATTCCCAATAACAAGCTCCTTGAGAAGAACGACTGGTTGCATCCTATACTGCATTTTATCTGGTGCAACTCTCTTTCTTGACGATCAGGAAGGCGACAGTCTGGCACATCAATCAATGGCGCTGTTACCGGGGATGCCATTGAATTGGTTTCGTAGTAATTGGTTTTCTTCACCATTGTGATTTAGGTCGATTCTCGTAGAGTTTTAGTTTTTGAACTTAAATCTTGCATTTCATAGCATCAAAATTTTTGAGAAATAGAACCAAATATCTTGTTTTTCTATACATTTGCATTTGCATTTTTTGCATAGCATTTTGCATTTTATTCTAGCTTGATCCTGAGTGTTTTAGCCAATTACTTGAAATTTTGAACTCTGTTCATAGTTGATCAGTATCTGGTTGAAGTACTTAGTATTTTTCTTCAAAGATTTTGTGAAAATAGCTCTCTGTGACCTTGAGTCGCGACTCACATATTTGGTGTCACGACCTGACTTGTGGCTTGTCTCGACCTTAACCTGCTGTTATCCAGTGTTGCTCTCGATTTGTTTAAGTCGCGACCTGGGATTTTACAAGTCATAACCTCGACTTCCTTTTCTTTCAGGGTTGCTTTCTATCCATTGAAGTCATGACCTGGACTTTTGCAAGTCGCGACCTGATCTAGTTTTCCACTGAAAATCTTCCTAAGTGTTCAGACTTACTCTTTTTGCATAACTTTACTTTCTGCACATACTTTGAGAGTGTATAGCACTTCATACACCTCAAACTCAATGAGCATTATTTGAAATCATTGAGTTTGCCTCAATTTTGAACTACACACTTGGTAAATACATGGTTTTGAACTTACATCTTTCTTGAACTCTATCTGTGCTTAAATTCTTGAATAATTGTGTATGCCTAGAGCGCGTAGAGGCAGGAGAGGTAGACATACAAGATCTCGTAGCCTACTTATTTTATGAGCTCTACCCCATTCATCTAGTGAGAGTAAGGAAGTAGAAGAAGAAATTATGGCTGAAGTACCTCCTCATGGTCCAAATGGTGGGAATAGGAATGGTAACCATAATAGACCTAATAATGGTGGTAATGAGGGGCAAGGAGAAAATAATGGCTAAAATAGGATTAATGAACAACCTAGGGGTAGAACCATTAAGGAACCAACTCAATCTGATAGGAACTTTAAACCTATACCTGGTGCTTTTCCTACTTTCAATGTAGATTTTGAAATTAAAGGTCAATTGATTCACTTATTGCCTAAGTTCCATGGTCTTGCAGGAGAAAACCCATACTTGCACCTCCGAACTCTTTATATGCAATGCTTGTCCATAAGCCAGTAGGAGCCAGTATTGATGACCTCAAGTGGAAGGATTTTCACTTATCTTTGGAAGGCATAGCTAAAGAATGGTACATGAACCTGCCACTCTATGTGGACAATGCCTATGAGTCATGGACCAATTTGAAGAAAGCATTCTTAGATAAATACTTCCCTCCACAAAGATTTCAGCCACTCGGAAGGAAATTTCAGTAGCTAAGCAAGAGCCATTTGAGACGTTCTTTGAATTTTGGAGTCGATTTCAAGAGATGCTTACCCGGTGCCCTAACCATCAGATTCTTGAGGAGCACTTGGTGTAATATTTCTACAATGGGTTGTCAACATATAATGCACAAGTTTTGGATGCCGTCGCAAATGGGTCTGTGGAAAATATGGAACCAAGGGCTGCATGGGAGTTAATAAGGACCTTTACTCTTAATAGACAACATGTGAGCTCAAGGGATTCAAGCGACCCCAAATTTGAAAGAGACCCTTTCTTGGTAAAGCTAGCCCAAGACATGTCTAAACTTGCAAATACAGTTGAAAGCCTTCGCTCCAACAAAACTCACTCTCTTGCCCTAGTAGCTACAAGTTGTGAAGTTTGTCAGTCACCAATGCATACTACCTCAAATTGCCCTGGGCCAGTTGAAGAAGTGAATGCCATGTACCAAGGAAGAGAGGGGCAATATCAGAAAAGGGACCCCTACTCAAATACCTACAACCCCGGTTGGAGAGATCATCCAAACTTTAAATGGGATAGGGGAGTAAATAGACCAAACCAGCTCCAAGGCAATCAGTTCCACAATCCTGGGGCCTCCTTAAGCATATTTCAAGATCATTCAAGAGCAGTGGTGACAACTCCACCTAACACCATGGCATCTCAACCACTGCTAAGAGGTGATGACACTTCTCAACTCTTAAAAAGCATGGCTGCTTAGATGACAAACATAGAGGGGCAAATGAAGGAAAGTGATGACAAGTTCGTCTCCATAACCACCATATTGCAAGGGATGCAGAAAGATAACTCAGATGTTCATAAGAAACTGAAGGAGCTCACTTTAAAGAACACTGATATCACCAGTCATTTGACCCAACTGTCTAATGCAGTCAATGACATACAAGCTAAAAGTGGAGGCAGTATTCCCTCCAATACAGTAATCAATCCAAAGGGGCTCAATGCCATAACTCTAAGAAGCGGTAAAAAGGTTCACTTTGAAAGTGAAAAAGTAGACAAGGATGATTCTACATAAGGGGTAGAGAGTCCCCCACTTTCCCCAATGAGGCTTGGTAAGTCTGAGAGCTCCAAAGAAGAAGAGCTCATGATGAAGGCAAGAGCACACACTGAACCAAAAGAGAAGTCAACTCAAGCATAAGAAGAAGCATCTCAAGTAGCTATGCCAGAAGATAAGAGCATTGTAGAGAGCTTGACTCACAAAGACAAGCAAAAGGAGGACAAGCCAGAGACCAGTAACCAAGGAGCCTCTAAGCCAGTAGGTAAGGAGGTATGTGCTAAAGACCTTTCTTTTCCTAAAGCCTATTTCTCTGGTAAGAAAAAGTTTGATGCTGAGTTTGCTACTGATGCTTACACATTGTTTAACAAACTAAAAATCAATATGCCCATAATTCAATTCTTAAAAGGGAATCCTAAATAATTTAAATTACTAAAGGAACTGTGTAATGACAAGCAAAGGTTTAGGTCCCTTGAGATAATTCAAGTGTGTGCTAATATGTCATCCTTATTCAAAGCTGAACTACCGGTTAAGTGCCAAGATCCTGGGTCTTACACCATCCCTTGCACCATAGGAAAGGTTCACATTAAGGGAGCATTATTAGATCTAGGTATTGCCATAAACTTCATGCCTTGGTCGGTTTATTTGGCTCTAGGGATTAACGGGATCAAAGACACAAGTGTAGTACTCCAACTAGCATATAGGTCTATCAAGTATCCTAAGGAAATCATAGAAGACATCCTAGTCCAAGTCAAGGACCTAGTATTCCCTGCTAATTTCTATGTTTTAGATATGTCGAATGAACTTGCAAATGAAAGCACTTTGATTTTGGGAAGACCTTTCCTGCAAACTTCTAAGACTATCATAAGCATGAAACACAGTTGTATAACAATGGAAGTAGGAGACCATGTTGTAACTTTTAATATAAATGAAGTCATGCGTTATCCCTTTGATAATTCTGCATTCATGGGTTTAAATGCTATTGATTTAGCTGTTGAGCAAGCTAGGGATGAGCATGAGCTGCATATATATGATAGTTATGACATGAGTTCACCTAAATTGATTGATTCTTCTACTGCATCATCACATGAATCCTATGAGCTTGATTCATCTTTGAGTACATATGATGAATATTTTAATTCCCTCTCTTCTGTTTATTCATTTTCTAGTTCTTGTGGAGATAAAGTGCCATGCATTAATTCCCTAGAAATTGATAGCATGCTTTCCATTTCTCAAGACCTTTCCTTCCTATCAAATATTGACTCCATTTCTATGTTTACAACTGATGTTGGCCTTGGAAGGAGTTTGTTAGTGTCACACCTTACTATCGGATCCACTTAGGGTTTAATTAAAACTATTTTGGACCATATTGGATGGTTTTCGGCTCAAAATTCATGAAAAAACGCTGATTTTCGGATTTTTACTGTTCATCGGGTAAAAATCCAGTTTTCTAGCCCAACTTCAAAAATTCATAACTTATTCCAAAAAAATCAAAATGGAGTGGTTAAAAATTCTATAAAAATCTATTTGAATGCTCTTTCATGAAAAAATAAGCTTATAAACTAATTCCATTTGAAAAAGTGTCAGGTGTTTGTGAAATTCACCTCTGTTCATTTGGCAAAAATCCTTTTTCCAGATTCTAAACCTTAACTTTGAAAAATCATTAAATATCGTATACTTGGCCATTTTTAACGTACTACATATCAATTTGAAGCTCAGGATGTCAACTCTAAGCATACCAAATTTCGTATAGAGATTTTTTTAGTAACTTAATGAAATATGGCTCTAAACTAACGTCTTGCTTAGGGATTACAGCACCAACCATGGAATTTATACATAACCAAATATCCACAAATTTTTATGGTGTAACACCATAATTTAACCTCCAATCTATAGCTTGATCTTGAGAGTTTCAGGCCCTAAAATGTTATATTATATTTGGGGGATGAGATTTTTGAAAATCCCAGTAGCAAGATCAATCAACCAAAACATTAACATGCATCAATTACAAGCATTTCAACCTTTTGCTATTAATAGGGAACTACTTTACCTCATACATGTAGCACTCTAACATGCAATAGCCAAGGCACATAAATCAAGGAGTATAGCTACACAATCATCATCATCCTCATCATTTAGTTCAACCACATAATAGCACATGAAATTGCATAGCAATCAATGCAACATTCAACATTAAGATCAATTAAATCTTACTACCTTAATCCAATGCTCTTTGATTTTCTTGTTCTTCTTTCTTGCTTTCACAAATGCCAAACCCTAACATGGCAATCCACAAAAAGGGCAGCAAGAATCATCAACCATTCCTCATAAAAATCAATAACATAATTCAAGTAACTCCTAAACTCCTTAAAGCTTCTATCTTTGTTCTTGAATTTTTAGAGTTAGTTTCCATAAACCCTAAAAATTCCCTCTTGACTCAACCCCCCATGACTTTATGTAAATTTCAAATATCTACTTGGATTTAACAAAATAAAGTTTCCTCTTCCAATTTCAGCTTGGCCGAACCATTAGGGTTCCTTATCCAAAAATTGCAACTTTGATTCTATGGCTTCCAACACTTGTTCTTTAGGTTTACCCTATACCATTTTTCATTTTGAACACAATGGAAGCCTCAAAACTTTGAAAAAATCATCCTAGGGTTCAGATCTAGCTTTGGCCGAAATGGTACTCAAGCTTCATAACAAAGAAAACACTTCAAAATCAACCTACAACCCCTTGTAACCACTAGGATCTATCATACTTCGAAGTGTTCTAGCAAGATTGAACCATAAAATTTCCTCCCCTACCCCATAAGCATTTTGGCCAGCTCCAATGAAGAGGGAAAACCAGAAATTTCACTATACAAATCAATAAAACAAAGCAAGGATTATCTTAGAACAACTTACCAAGCTTGGATCTTAGTTGAAAGATCAAAGATGCTTGCTTTTGGCTTGATCCCTTCATAAATCACTCTTGCTCTCTCTCTTTTCCTCTAGGCTGAAGTGAGATCAGATTATGGGGGGAGAAAATACTCAATTAATGCTCTCAAAATATCTCATCTACCACATTTAATGAAAGTCCAAGTGTTAATTGCCTACTTAGCCTTAATCCTCTCTCTTAATTAACTTAAATCATAATATAATTAAATTCCAAAGTCAAGATCCTCTCCATTGGTAGCTTGACACTTGGAAAGCTTTAATTTCATCCATTAGAGGCTTGACAAGTGGCGACTTATGGGCCAAGTAAAGTGCAAGACTTTGATTAACACTTTATCGATGCACTTTTACTCCGGGTTTAATTCCTTTTCTATAATTATAGTGCTCTAACCTCTGTAATTATCTTCTATCAGATCCATAAATTATTCTCCTTATTTTTATCTTCCTAAATTGCCCTCTTCGTCTCAAAATTAATTTCCCAATAATTAAATAAAAAGGGAAACTATTTTCCTTCTCTTTAGTGATTTTTCCTTTTTTTCAAAGGAATTGGGAAAAATCTTGGATACTTGAGGGCCTTCTTTTAATTCCATAATCTCTTATAATTCTGTGGGATATCATAGGAATTTTCTCGAGATTTTATTCTCCTTAAAAATATTTATTTGAAATTTTCCAAATAAAGGACCTTAAACTAGCTTAAATTGCCCTTAAATTCCTTTGTAATTTCTCCAAGGGCAATTTGGTCATAAAACTAATTTTATAATCCCATATAATTTTCAAGGAATATTGTCCTTATTTTTCCTTAATTTTTTGAGACTTGGAAATATTTTTCCATAATTATTATTGACCAATTTTCCTTAATTAGTCAAACTTTTCATAATTGTCTTGGAAAACTATAATAATTATTTTCCACCAAAATTCTTCTATTTCTCCTTGTCATTTTTGACCCTTAATTATTTAGGAATATTTCTTATTCCTAATTGCCATATTACTGGATGTGACAGTTAGCTAATAATGCAGGTATTCAAGATGTGGCTAGTGCCGAGAGTGGAGCAAAATCTAAGGAAACGAGCCTCTGTGATGTGAGGTCGTGACCTAATTTTTTCAAAGTCGCGACTTCCTACCAAGCCTGTAAAGAAGGTGGCCTCTATCAAGTTAAGTCGTGACCTGAGAGTTCTCAAGTCACGACTTCAACCCAAGCATTCTAAGAGGGTAGCTTCTGTAATGTGAGGTCACGACCTGGATATATGAGGTCGCAACCTAATTCACCTATTTCACCTATTGAACTTCAAACTTCAATTGCTCCACCACCTCATGTCTTGAAGACTTTGGTTAAAGGGCCAACACTTTCTAATTTAATTGCTACTCATACACATTCTAAAATTACACCCCATACCTTATGATTTTTGAATGATCTAATCTCTAATAATGATGTAGGTATGGAGGTGGACCAACCTAAGTTTGTTGCTTCTATAGACCAACTCGAGCTTGGTGCAACATCCAATAGGACTGAAGCAAGTGTAGTTGATCCAAGTGAAGCTGGCAAGTGCATTTCAAAAGGGTCTACAAAGGGGAGTTTCTCTAACTCTGTTGATTTTCCTACTCTAATTCCCTCTATTGTTCAACCTCCGACCTTGGAACTAAAAGATTTACCTCCCAACCTCAAGTATGCTTATCTTGAGCCTAAGAATAAATTGCCTGTCATTATTTCTAGTTCTTTAACTAAGCATGAAGAGACTAGTTTAATGGGAGTTCTAAGAAAAAATAGGGAGGCATTGGGTTGGCAATTAGCTGACATTAAGGGAATTGACTCTACTATTTGTACCCATAGGATTTTACTGATTGAAGATTCCAAGCCAATTAAACAAAGCCAGAGGAAGTTAAATCCTCTAATTTCTGATGTAGTTAGGAAAGAAGTAGACAAACTTCTAAGAGCTGGAATCATATACACTATTCCTGATAGCGAGTGGGTGTCATCAGTACAAGTCGTGCCGAAAAAGAGTGGGATCATAGTAGTTAAAAACAAAAACAATGAACTCATCCCAACTAGGGTGCAAAACCCATGGAGAGTTTATATTGATTATAGGAAGCTAAATGATGCCACTAGGAAAGACCATTTTCCCTTACCCTTTATTGATCAAATGCTTGAATGGTTAGCGGGGAAGAGTCACTACTATTTCCTAAATGGGTACTCTAGATATTTCCAGATTCCTATAGACCCTAGAGACCAAGATAAGACCACCTTTACTTGTTCCTTTGGAACTTATGCTTGCAAAAGAATGCCTTTTGGTCTTTGCAATGCTCCTGGCACATTCCAACACTGTATGCTATCCATTTTTGCTGAATTTATTGAAAAATGCATGGATGTGTTCATGGATGATTTTACTGTTCATGGAAATTCTTTTGAAGACTACTTGAAAAGTCTTGACCAAATTCTAGCACGATACATTGAGAAAAAGCTGGTTTTGAATTATAAAAAATGTCATTTCATGGTTAATCATGGCATCTTGCTAGGTTATTTAATCTCTAAAAAAAGAATTGAGGTAGATAAAGCTAAGGTAGAGGTGATATCTTCTTTGCCCTACCCAACCAACTTGAAAGAGTTGAGATCCTTCCTAGGACATGTGGGGTTCTATAGAAGGTTCATCAAGGATTTTAGTAAAATTGCTTTACCTCTTTCCAAACTGCTATAAAAAGATATTGAGTTTCAATTTGACCATGCATGTGAGCTTGCTTTTAATGCATTGAGGAATAGGTTAGTTACTCCTCCTATTTTGACCTTTCCCAACTGGGATTTGCCTTTCGAGATTTCTTATGATGTTTCGAAATTGAGTGTGGGGGTAATGTTGGGTCAAAGAGAGAATTCTGTTTTGAAAGTGATTGCTTATGCCTCTAAAACTCTAAATGCAGCTCAGAAAAACTATACCACTACTGAGAAGGAATTGTTTGCAATTGGTTTTGCACTTGATAAGTTTAGACCATACCTAATAAATTCCAAAGTGGTTGTGTTTACAGATCACGCAACAGTAAAATACCTCTTTCACAAACCTCAATCGAAGCCGAGGCTCTTGAGGTGGATCTTACTGCTTCAAGAATTTGATGTGGAAGTAAAAGACAGAGCTGGAAATGTCAACCATGTGGCAGACCACCTAAGCAGACTACCTTTAGAAACCAAGGGAGTACTCGATTTTGAAATTATCTGTGATTCATTCCCTGACCAATCTCTATGTGCATTGTCTGTTTCTCAACTGTGGTTTGCTCACTTAGTTAACTATATTACTACTGGTCTAATCCCTTCTCACTTGACCACCTTTCAAGTTCAAAAGCTTAGGAGCGAAGCTTCCTATTATATGTGGGATCCACCGCACTTATGGAGGTTATGTTCTGATCAAGTGATTAGACGGTGTATCTCGGAAGTAGAGGCTCGAGCCATTATGGAGGCTTGCCATAATACTTTATGTGGGGGGCACTTTAATGCTAGAAAAATAGCTAGGAAGGTTTTAGATGCAGGATTTTACTGCCCCACCTTATTTAGAGACGCATTCACTTTTTGTAAGGCATGCGATAAATGCCAATGGGTTGGGGGGGTTAGTAGAAGGAACGAAATGCCATAGCAACCTATCTTGTTCTGTGAGATCTTCGACGCTTAGGGAATATACTTTATGGGTCCCTTTCCACCCTCTCATGGTTATACCTACATTCTCCTAATTGTAGATTACCTCTCAAGGTGGGTGAAAGCCATCCCCACACACAAAGACGATGCACCTACAGTTTCCAAATTTCTGAAGTCCATCATTTTCAGTAGATTTGGCATGCCTAAAGTGCTAATAAGTGATCAGGGAACCTACTTCTACAACAAGTTACTCAATAACTTGTTGGCAAAGCATGGGGTTTCCCACAAAGTGTCCACCCCTTATCGTCCTCAAACCAATGGTCTGGCTGAAGTATCAAACCAAGAGATTAAACGCATCTTGGAACGGATTGTCAAGCCCTCCAACAGAGATTGGAGCTTACAACTAGATGATACACTGTGGGCCTACCGTACCGCCCACAAAACCCTAATCGGTATGTCTCCGTATCAGATCATCTATAGTAAGGCCTGTCACATTCTAGTGGAGCTGGAGCATCGATCATACTGGGCGGTAAAGAGTTGCAATACCGATTTGGAGGAAGCTGGCATGAACCGACTCCATTAAATTCAAGAACTTAAAGAAATACGGTTAGATGCCTATAACAGCTCAGACATCTATAAGCAGAAAACCAAGCTTGTCTATGATGCCAACATCTTAAGAAAGAAGTTTAAGGAGGGTGACAAGGTGTTGAGGTATCAAGCTCAATTCAAATTCAAGAAGGGTAAGTTTAAGACGAGCTGGGATAGACCCTACATTGTGACGAAAGTGCATAACTTTGGGATGATAGAGCTCAGGGAGGAGGCCACAGGCAAAATGTTTCAGTGCAATGGGCATCTCCTCAAGCTCTATGAAGAGCCCGTACCGCCTTCTTAAGGCCAGGTCGTCCCTTTCCTTTACTTCTACTATTCACATGAACTTACTTGTGCTTAAATTACCTTGCTGTGACTTTTAGAAACTGTGAAAGGCATGCCCTCAGTAGAAGTAGCTTTAAATTCTATTGTTTTGTTTGTTTTCAATAATCTCCCTAGCCTTGAGTTTGATATGATTGTATTTGTGCTTCTATTCTGTCACCACCATGCACTTCTTTGCACTCTTGAGTTTACCTACCTTTGCGCTCAGCTCTTTTCCTCTCTCTAGAAGGGTGACGTGTTGCGCTTCAGTCTTGAACTGAACTTTACAACTTCCACATTCGTTGTTTTGTGTTTTGGCTTTGTGCTTTGGTGTGACTGTGTATCGCAATATGGATATTGCTTTGAGTGTGTGGGGTAGGGAGTTCTTAAAAGTGGTTTTGTGTTTTAGTTGTTGGGTTTTATGGTCCAGGAGTTTTGTTTTGAATTGTTAAGAATTTTATGATGGATTGCTGAGTTAGGTTGTTATGGTAGGCATTTTGGTAAGTGATTTTGGTTTAGGAACTTAGATTTGAAGTTTTTCAAGGTCTAGAGTGTCAGAGCCTCTCTGTGCACTCAAGTCACGACTCTAATATTTCCAGGTCATGACCTGGGGGTTAGTTTGAATTTTGGAGCTCTCTGTGTGTTTAAGTCTCGACTTCAATATATATGGTCACGACTTGGGGAAGAAACTGGGTAAAGGCTCTCTATGAGTTTAAATCGCGACCTCGCTGTTTTCAGGTTGCGACATGGAGTCTTTTGAAACCCTAAATCCCCCTCTGGCTCCTGAAGTCGCGACCTCGTATACCTCATGTCGTGACCTGACATGAAAAGTCAGGATTTTTCTGTGAGTTCACCTCTTTACCCTTACTTATTTCTACCCTAATTACCATGTTGCCCCTTGAACCTGCCCCCTATTCAAGCTATATTCACTGCAAGGACCCAAAACCCTAGCCTCCCTTTGTAAAACCACACTTAACCCTCCTTTCAGTTTTTTATTCCTTCTCGTGTTCATTTCATTCTCCTTCCAGTCGCGACCCTCCAGCCTTCTAGTTTCTCTCTGAAGTCACGACCCTCTAATCACAGATTCTTCAACAGCTTCTTCTTTTCAAATTCCTTCCAAAGTCATAACTGTTCAACTCCTATTTAACGGTTGCTTCCTCTACAATCGTTTAGTTGCTTCAGTTCTTCGTCTCTGTTGATTTCTGAGTGCCTTAACTCTGAGATTCCCCTCCTGCAGTGAGAAATCAAGCCTTCTCTCTACCCTTGAGTTTAGTTCTTCCATCCTTCCACTCTCTCAAGGTTTGTTTAATCTTCCCTCTTTGTTTTCAGTTTTTCAGTTCTTTCTAGTTTAGTTTTCTGCGTTTTGTTTTAGGGGTAGTTAGTGTTGTTTTGTTAGGGCTTTGATTTTGGTTGAGTGGAGTATTGTTGGACGTTGAAAATATTGTTTAACTGATTTTCAGACTGCTTGGGATTGCATTTTCTGCAAAAGATTTGGTTTTTGAGCAAATTGGTTTGTGCTACGTTTTCTAAAATTTCTGGGTTCAAGTCACGACCTCACTGTTTTCAGGTCACGACCTTGATGTTTTCTAAAATTTAAAATGTCCCTTTGTCTACTCAAGTTGCCACTTCACTATATTAAGGCTGCGACCTGAGTTAACAGAGGAGGTTTTAAACCTCTGATTCACTCCTGCTGTTTCTATACTGCATTTTCTCAATAGATTTTGACTTTTCATATTAAGGATTTGAAAGAAATAGATTTTAGGCAATGGAAAATTATGAATACTTGGGTTTTCTCATGATTTCCCTAATAGTTTTAAAATGCAAATGTCCCGTTTCAAAATCCTCAACTGTTTTGCTTAAGTGAGTCTGGCAATGGGTAAATATAGGCCTAGTGTGGGGGAGTACTTGGTCTCTAGGCTTAGTGTAGTTTTTTGGTTTCTTTTCCTAGGTTTGTTTGTTTTTTGTGTTTACTTTGCTTGCTTGTTGGTTGTTTGCTTTATGCCCAGATGCCTCGCACCAAAAACCCTGAGTCTTCAGGCTCGAAGGAGAAGCTTCACCCTCATGAAGAGACCAGACTTTCAAGGAAGGAAGCGGTGGATTTATTTGCCAACAGAGGGGTGGTTCAGAAGCGATATTTTCCACAAACGTAGCAGTACCATTTTTATGAGCTTGCCAAACAAAAGGGTCTTAAGGAACTTATGAAGAAGAGGAACAAGGCCAATTTGACATTGGTGAGAGAATTCTACACTTGCTCTGCTATGGACGGACATAGGGGGATCACTTTTAGAGGCAGTAAATATTTCTTAACTCGGGAGGTTGTTGAGAAGTTCTACAATTTACCTGATATCCCTGTCTGCGAATACTAACGATGGAAGACCAAACTTACTAAAGTTCCCTAGGTAGAGGTCTTCCAAACCATTGGGACAGGGGAAGTTGGGTGGACCATAAAGGAGAGTGGGTGGAAAGTCTTCGAGTGCAAGCACATGAATGATGAAGCCAGGATTTGGCTAAACTTCATGGTTTATAACGTAATGCCATCAGCCCATATTTCTGGTGTTTCTGAAGAGGGTGCACTCCTTCTACATCTCCTGATGACCTTGCAGCCAGTTGACATTCCTATTACTGCCCTGGACCAAATTGATCACTGTATCAACAATGTCGAAACTCTTATGGTGTTTCCGTACTTGATTATCGATTTGTGTGCAGCACATGACATACCAGTACGCAAGTCTGACACCACAACCAGGTGCTATGCCACCTCCAAAACACAGAGAGAGGAAGAGAGGAAAAAGGGTGATTGGGGAAGGTCCAGAAGAGGAGGCAGCTGAGGGTGGCTCTACTCTAACCTCACCTCCTTGAATGATCAGATTACCGAACTTAGTCATCAAATGACAAACCTAAGTGAGGAGTTTGAGGCATACAAGCTACTCCATGTCTCACGAATTCAAAAGGCAGAGGTTTTTGGATCCCCTAATGTTGGAGATGGCCAGGGCTCTTAAGGTTGATTTCCCCCACGAGTATGAGCGGGCTTTTTGGGAGAACACCATTCCTGCCACTAGTTATTTTAGTGAGGGTCTAGGGTAATCATCTGGTGTTGGTGCTGGTGCTGCTACTACTGATGCTGAGATGGGAGAAAGAGATGTCTAGGCAGGAGGGAGTACTGGCAAAGAAGAGAGAGGAGGAGCAGAAGACTGAGAATAGTCTTTGCTTTCTTTTTAGTTTTCCTTTGGTCTTTGTTTTTCCTTGATGTCTGTAACTGAAGGCTTAATTTTTTTTTTTGTGTTTTAGCTTTTATGCAATGATGGTTTTGTCTTTCCTCTTCTTTTGTGGTTACTGCTGTTCTTTTCCCTTTTCTGTTGACAGTGTGGACACTGTCAAGTCTAAGTGTGGAGGAGGAATTCATTTCGCTTTGTTGAATCATTTTTGTGGTTATTTTTTTCTCAAAAATCCAATCTTTCATCATCATTATTTGGCTTTGAATTGATTGTAGATGTTGAATTATTGTGAATTGGATCATTTGATGCTTGCTAAAAGTGTTTTTACTTGTTAATTGGGGCCATAGTTTGAATTTTTTTGCATTGGTAGCTTCTGTGACTTCAAGTCGCAACCTCACTAATTCAGGTCGCGACTTGAAGAGTGACTTTGGTGAGGGAAGGCTCTTTGTGATCCCAGGTCGCAACCTATGTGATTTGGGGTCACAACCTTGTTCCCCTTTCCTGACTTCGTGCCTCTGTGTGCACAGGTCACGACCTCATTGTATTCAAGTCACGACCTGGACTCTTTTTCTGAGCACTGTTACCCTTCTCTTTGCTTGTTGGCATTGCTGTGTAGGAGGAACCTTTTTAAGCTACCTTTGCATCTTTTTCAAGCAAACCTTTGCCTTTTTCATATACCCTCATTGCATCAAATAGTTTTTCTTGAAATCCGTGCCATCCTTGGATTTTGAAAAGGAGCTTTTTTTGAAGAATTTATAGTCACTTTTGGGATTCAAGTATGTTCTCAAGTGATTATCATGATCTTTCTAATCCTTATCTCATGGATTGCTTTTGTGATAAGTGTCTTAATGCCTTGTGACTAGTGCATATTGATTGAAACTTCTTGTATGAGCAATTGAGATGTGAACCCCTTGTTGGAAGGATATTCTTGAGCCTTGATTCCTATATTGAGTGATTATTTATGTGGTTTACATTCTCTAGAACTTGTTTTAGCTCTTGGTCAAAATTACGTGTGCATTTATGATTTTGAATATGATGGAGGCATTCTTTTCTACACCTTTCTACCTAAACACAACCCACAACCATTTATCCGTTGCTTGACCATTTTTAAGCCTGCACTTCCTTCATTTTGTCTACCACTTTGAGTGTTTTGAACAACGATGTTAATTGAGTTGAATCCATCTCAGCAATTACGATTTCTTGGTCTTCATTGGTCTTAATTGGGAATTTTCCTTTTATTTCAGTTTGAAAAAAAAAAAAAAAAAAAAACAAAACAAAACAAAACAAAAAATAAAAACACAAGAGTAAAGAAATACTCCTTATATATACATAAGCTATCACAACAAAATAAAGGTGAATAAAGTATTCCCTTGGTGATAGAAGGTTGGGATTTGAACTTCCTTGACTAGAAATAGATGTTATTCAACTCACATTTCTTTAATTCTTGACACTCGATTTC